TATTTTCTTCAGTTTGGTAGCTAAGAATTTTTATATCAACTGCCTTGGGTTGGATTTTCTTATTTTTATTACATAAAATATCACTAAAAAATCCAAAATATTTTTCTCAATTTATTTCTTTTCCAAAAGATCTCAAGACTATGCCTCATACCTAACGTACAACCACGTTGCAGGTGTTTTGGGACCCCTTCTAATCCCCACCTTACCGGTGGCAATTTGCCAGATTTCCCACTAATGAGCGGCTGCACACAGAAATGTGTTAATTAACTGGCTCAATGTGGCAGCTGTTGTTGTTTTGATTTGGGCTCAGCGAATGGCATTCACAGTGCCACCTCGATACAGTGGTCGGGGGGACAGGTGTCAGTGATCCTAGGCAACTAATTCAAACCCCATGGAAAAAAAACCCCCTCTTAACCATAAGAATTGCATTGCAAGCCCATATATAATTTAGCCAATTGTCAGCGTCGAAACTTGGCTAACTTCGGTTGCTGGCTGGGCCGCACCCATTAATTATTTTAAAGTAGTTGGCCGACGCGATGTTGCCTTTTCAGTCAGCAGATTTATCGACTGCGCCACAAAAACTTTTAGCATACACCCAACAGGCCAGTAGTCAGTACCCTAACTCCACCCCCAACCCTCTCAAAGGGGGGATTTCAAAAAGGTTTTAATAGCAAATGTCGGCGGCGACAAAGCGAAATGGCTTTTAAATTGAGCTTCACTCATGTTAGGGGGCGTGTCATGCGCCCACATGCACTTATTGATTTTGTTACAAGGGGGCTGGCTTTGATTGGGTCAAAGGTTAATTAGTTAATTGGCTGGTCAGGTGAACTTTAGAAATAGAAGCAGAGGAAAGGCAGTTGGCTGGGAATTGGTGGGAGGAATCGGTTGAAAAATGTTCAGATCGAAGAAATATTTGGTAATTTTTCTTGACTTAGAGGCGTGTCATATTTGAAGCTGATTAATGATTAAGATTTGTTAATAAAAATCTTAAGATCTGAATTAGTAAGCCGTTCTACTTGCTTATGTTAATTTGAGTCGAGTCGTAGCTGCGATCTAAACTTTACATAATTAATCCTTTGATAATATGCATATGAGGTCAGCAAGTTGTAAAGATTAAACAGTAATAGCTTTCTATTTTTAGTAAAATAGGTAAAGAACCAAGTTGAAATTTCCTTTTCCTCGTCTTATTACCCTCACCCAAAAGATTCTTTATTACCTCACTGAAAGTCTTTCACCAGGTGATCTAACTCAACCTGTGAGTCACAAGCCAGCCACTCATCAGAACTCATCATCATTAAGCCGCAGACGATCTCTCCCTCAATTTGCCACAAATTCATAAACAGAAACTTGCTCCAATAGCCACACCCTCCCAGGAAAAAGGGTTATACCCGAGATTCATGGCTATAACACACCCTCTGAACTGGCTTTGTAAAAATTAGGGGCCTCCCAGAAAGTAGACCAAAAAGATTTCGAGCACAAAGGCGCCCAAAAGCGTCTCTAAATACAAATCACTTGCCATTTATCTTGGGCCATTAATTTATATAAATATAACTAAGGCAGATTCTATAAAAAAACGGAAAACAGAAAACACAAAACTCGAGAAATAAAAAGCTTGCGTGCGCATTGGGGGCGTGGCAGCGGAGTGCGCCAAATGGGCGCTCATTAATTTCCACTAAAAGACAGAGAGAGAGAAAGAGGGGGAGGGAATTTCCAAATAAACCGGGAATGCATCAAATTGAATTTGTTGCCGCTTTTTTCGTGCCTAATTAATGTTAATTCTCATCAGAGCAGAGCCACATAAATTTTCCACTCCGACAAATCCACAATTATACGAAATTAACAAATCATTTGTGTGGCAATCTGTCAAAGATTTTTCACGACCGTAATTTATACTTCCTTTTATTTGCTGGAAAACTTTTGCAATGCCGTAGTCTTATGGTATTCGTTAATAAATGCCGTGCAATTTTCCATTTTACTTAATTGGCAATTTATTAAAGTGTTTAATTAAAAGAGTCAATTAAAAGTGTTTAAGTTGAATGTTATGGGGAACTTTTGATACTCTGCTTTCTTTTAAGTAGTTAAGTTTCACTACCTGAAATGCTAATCCATGAAGCTTAAAGCATATTAACCTTAGACTTTTTCACAGGACCTTTTTTTAACCCTCTTAAGAGGGTTGAACCAAAATAGTATTTAATTTTTGTACCTGCCTCTGAGCATCCACTAAATATTGTTTATTTAAAACTTTTTGTTGACTTTTTCGTCGGAGAGATCATTAAATTGCAATTACGTAATGGCAAAACTGACAGCCCGGGGCGTCATCGGCTTGGTGCTGTGCATTTCCAATTAAAAAAGCATTAAAACACATTGCTTATGGCCACTGAGGGAATTGCAATTGGAATCGAAATGGACAGCACCCATGCTCACCTGCCAATGGAGATTCCTATTCCTGTTCCCATTCGTGAGATGTGAGATCCTCCTTCTCGGGGCCATGCCTTAGTTCCAGTCGATCAGAGTGTTATTTATGGCGGCGAGAAAATTAACTTTTCCTGCTGGCTGACATGGAAACCAATTTGCCAATTGACGCCTCAACCTCTGGCGGGCATCTTTCTGGCTTTCGGGTTGTTTTTTTTTTATTTGGCCCAGACTTTCTGGGCTTTCTGGCCCAGTCTTTCAATTAAATTTATGTTCGAGCAGGAGGCGCCAGCCGAGACTGACTGAACAATCGCTGATTTACGACCTGGAAACGAAGGCGAATAGAAAACACTTTGCAATTATTAAACGTACTATTTTTTATGGCTGTTCCAGGTATTGCAGTGGCTTTTTTTGCTGTTTTTTTTTTGCCTATTTTTTATCGACCGCCCACGATGTGCGCCAAATGAGGTTTAAACTGCAATTCCGTTTACATTTGGCAAACTTTTCCCATACAAATTGCCGCTAAATAGCTGAAACCTGACACAACAATAACAACCCGGACGCCTACGCCGTTGCCAGCACGTTCGTTTCGTGTTAACCCTTTGGTTGTAGATGGGTGAATAAAAGCCCTTTTAGTTTTTAATATATACATTGAAGGAGAACAGCTACATTTTTTTATAATAAGATTGCAGGTGCAGAACACTTAAGGTAAATTTTTAACACTTTAAATCTAAAAACTATCCTGTTTCCTTTTTATATTTTTATTTACTTTCTTACAACTCTTCCTTAAGTCTCCCTAAAATACTTCAGAATATCTTCCTTAGTTTCTCCAAACGGGTTAAAGTTGCTTCTGTGCTGTAGGCACTGCAATTGCTGCCGTGCTGTTGCAGTTGCAGTTGCTGTAACCTGCACTGCAGCAAGTGTCAGGCCCTTCAATCGCTGTCGCTCCTGACTCCACACTCCCCACTCACCACACCCCACTCCTTTCACCTGTCAAATTTGCAGTGCCTGGGGAACTAATGATGCCCTTAATATGCTCCAAGTGCCTCGGCTGAAAGCCATTTCCCTTTCGCTTTGTTTTCAAAGTCATCGCCATCGTCTTTGTCTTCGTCATCGCCGCTGCCAGACATGCCAAAATCAAACGAAAGGCTTTGCCAACGGAAAACCCAAGAAATTCAGGTGAGAAGTCGATTTTTCAATGCACTTTTTTGTGGATAAGAATGGTGAAATTGGTGAGACCAATTTTCTACTGGAAGTAAGACCTAATAGTTGAAACCAAAAATTATACAAAATAGCATTTTTAACATAAATTCTTTTAGCTCTTAAAATTTTAAGTGATTTAATTAATGCAACTTTCTATTAGAAATGTTGACCAACATGACCAGGAACATGCGGATAAACTTCTCCTAAAGCTACCAATCAAGGCACATATTTACGAAAATGTTAGGCCATCAGAGAGACAAACAAAGGGAAGTGACTGGTGACCCCAACCACTTTTCTCCAAAGACCACCCTCCTCCATTGCTCCATGGAAGTAACCACCCTGAATCCCGAGCAACTGAGACACCTGCACTTCGCCGTAGACAACTTCATTTTGTGGGTCGAGCCAAAAGACTCATAAATTCGCGGCCCACAGAGGAAACGCAGACCAAACCGATATATATATATATATATATATATATATATATATATATATAATTGCATATGTGGGCATGGGCCCATTCCAAGTGCAATTAAGTAATTCTCACATCGTTTATGCAAAATACGAGAATTTTCCAGGCATTCTGGTGGAGGAACCTGGGGTTCGGTTCTGGTCTTCTGGTGATTGCTCGCGTGCAACCTCAACACCCTTTGCTTGTAGTCAAGTGGCCCATAAATTGTTGGCCAAGTTTTCACGGTGCCCGCCCACTTTTCGCTGCGCTGCTTTGACAACGGCAATTACCTTGAACTTTTCGCCGGATCGCTGGCTGGCTCTAACCTGCCATATGCCAAAAAAAAAAAAAACTAAAGAATTTATTTATATAAATTTTTTGGATTTTTTTGGCTGGCTCATATATTTTGGTAAGTCTTCGATCTCCTCCCGTTTTGTCAGTTTAATTTTTGGGTTTAGCTCGCGTTTCACTTTAAATGAACCCAAATTGCTGGCCCATTAGCTCCGGGCTGCTCCATATGCATATCTGCAACCTCGGAGCGGAGTAAATATACTTTATAGGCAATCATTTGCATTTTGAATATCAATTTCTGGCCATCAATTTCCAGCCGTTGCTAACTGACGTTTATTTTTTGGCCGCTTTATGAGACCGTAACTCGTAATTGTTGATTGCACTTTTTACTGACAATGTTTAGCACACACGAGAGAGAGTTTTTCGCGAGGGGTTTGAGGGTTTCCATCAACAACTCAATAAAGGAAAAGCCTTGTTAGCAGCAGGATTTGGCCTTTTGATTGGTTACATTCTGGCAGCTGATCGATAGTTATTGGGCCTCTGTAATGAGTTTATCATGCGATGGCAGAAAGTTTGCCATTAAATGGGCAACATATGTGGAACTGCAGGCTCTGTATGTTTGATTTATGACTTTATTTTATTTTTTACTTTATTTATTGGCTTTGTTATTTATTTTTTAAGTAGTAAACAATTTAAATTAAGCTATACAGTTGACAAATAATTTACAAAGAAATTCAAGGAACACAAAATAGCGGAGTTAGCTGGCTAGCAGCGATTAGTTACTACTTTTCCCGCTCCCTTTCCCTCTCCCGGGACTTTTCCCGCTCTCTCTCCCTCTCCCTTTCCCGCAAATAGAGCTGCTGCTGCTGCTGGATGAAGTGTTGCTGCTGCTGCTGATGTTGCTGCTGCAGATGTTGCTGATGCTGCTGCAGCAACTGGTGCTGCTGCTGCGGACTTAGTGTGGCCGCTTCACCGGGATTCTGCTGAAGGAACTGCTGCTGATGCTGGGCCAGCTGCTGCTGGAACTGCTCCCGCAGTCGCTGGTGCTCCTCAGCATCCATTTCACTGCCATAGTCATCCATATCGATCACCTCGTCCTCGTCATCTTCCTCAATCTCATCGTCATCCTCTGGATCCTCTGCATCTTCATAGCTATGCTGCGATCCATCGTGCTTGGCATCATCCTCGCCATCGCCACCGCCTCCGCCGCCAGAGGAGCTGCCCTTGTTGCTCTTGGTGTCACTCCCGTCGCCGCCTTCCTGCTGCATCCGCTTGTGCTTGGTGCGACGGTTCTGGAACCAGACTTTGACCTTTGGAGAAGAGGAAATTAGGGATAGATATTAAATGGTTAAACTTCTAACAAATTTAATATAGATCACATTTTATCCTTAAGCTAAACTTTTAAACCCTTAAAGCAACCTTTCTAACGATTAACATATGGACCTTCCTTCGATTCTAACCCCAGTTTATGGTAAGTATAAATATTTTCCCAAGTGCACTTTCAGGAAGCAATTGAGCTTGGGGCAGCCCTTTTGGGGGAGGGTCCTTAACCCTTCCATTTGGCTTTTGTTTCTTTTTTTTTTTGGCAAGTCGTAAATAAATTTAACGAGTCTTTTAATTCTATTTACGGCCTGCCTCCCAGTTATGCCCCCGAGGGTGTAAAGTCAAGTGCCAGAACTACCCCCTCTCCCCTTTCAGAGAACTTTTAACCTGCCCCTCGCGAAGCGCTAATAACTCAGTAACTCCGGCACTTCTTGGGCTAACGACCAGACGACATGCAATCACTTAGCTCCTAACCAAAGGGGTTGAACTTGGGGGTGCTTATTGAATTTGATGCGCATTAAGGGCTGGCTGCCTTTGTAGTAGAGCCCATCTCACCTGGGTTTCGGTCAGGCTGAGGCCCTGGGCCAACTGCTTTCGTTCCGCCCCCACAACATAGTGATTCCCCTCGAAGGCGTGCTCCAGTTTGAGCAACTGCGTCGGCGAGAAGGCGGTGCGAACGCGTTTCGGCTTGCGGAATGGCTGGAACAGGAAATCTGGAAGAGAGAAAGGTTATTGAGTTAGAGAATATCTATAATGGGAGATACTAAAGGGTTAGGTTAATTTGTTTTTATTTATTTATAACTCTTAATGATTTAAAGCTTAAGCCAAGCTTAATTAACCTTTTGATTGCAAAGGAAAGCTGGTTATTAATATTTTATGGCAACTATATATCATTTTCATTGTTAAATATACCCTCTGCAGCACATCCTTTAAGCAATATAACTAACATGGGAAAGGTAAAAGTGCACTCAAACTCAAACCAATTAAAATAGAAAATGTACTTTTTGAAAATTGAAAATTATGTAACTGCACTATAGTTACTAGCAAGTAAAGATATATTTTAGTTAAACAAATAAGTTTGCCATAAAAATTTATAGCCACTTTGGTAATATAAGCTCTTAAGTTTGCCATAAATAAATTATTAAAAAATATTTATACCTTAAAAGTCATAAAATAAACATATATAAGCAAGCAGATTAAGTTAGTTAAGGAAGAAAATTAATAAAATATACTCCTAAAAATTAACAAGCTTTTAGATTTATGAATAGCCATAACATGTGGAAGCCTCTGCTGAATAAATATTTATGGACTGCAAACTAGCAAGAGGAGCTCCTCTGGGGGCTCTGTCAATTAGATGACGTTGTGCCTCAAATTGTTGATTATGAATTCCGCGAATGCCGCAAGCAAAGATGCCGCACACACAGTGCCCCACTCACATGTTGCACACGCTCATTACAAAACAATAAACAAATTTCCAGACATGGGCCAGCGAAAAAAAAAAAGCAGCAGAAAACACAAAAGGCTTCTGGTTCGTGCCGCTGTCGGCGCTGTGTGTTTGGGCCATGTCCCAGAATCGCTGATAAGGCCAAAACAATTGGCCCGACCGAGCTGGCCAAGACCCTGGCCCAAGTGCTGGCTTTCTTCTTCTGGCCCTGAACGCCAAACCGAACACTTTAGCGCTCCTAAAAGCCGCCAACGACGCCTCTCATTCGAGGATTGCGGACGGAGGACCCATTGTTCTACCTTTCCAGCCGGCACAACGTGATATTTTGACGTTTATCACGATTTCTGGAAGCCAAAGATCCCCCACTCCCAAGGCCAAGTCCTAAGCCGCTTTTACGCCTGCGAGTTAACAAATTTTCAATTGAGCCACAATTTGAATATTGATATGAGCCAGGAGGCTACTGTGCGAGATTCAGCTGAGATTTCTGAGGGTAAAGAGGAATGTGCTGGGCCAAAGATGATGGAAAGTAAGGGAGCCAGGGAAATGTTAAAAAAAATAAAAATGTATCTTATATATTAGCATTAAGCATCATTTAATATGTAGATATTTTAAGAAAGACTTTTCTTATATCTTCTGGCAATTAAATACAAATATTTCCCAATGAAAACAGCTCAAGTTAATCTGGTGGTTAACCAATTTTCTCACCTGAGATGACTTTCCATGCCCGACCCAACCCAGATCAATCTTGGACTAGACCAAAAACTGTCATCTTAATAAGTCTGATCTCACAAAGCAAACATTCTAACTTAACCCACCTTGTTATGATATAATTTAGCGAACAAGGCTTAGCTGCAGGATCTTGTGGCAGCCGCAAGGTGTGCCAATTACAAAATCAATATTGGCATAGCCAAAGCGAATCGATTTCGGAGACAGGAAGTCCATGCAACCGAACAAAACAGAAGCTAAGCCATTGGGAAAATAAACAGCTAATAGAGAGAAGGGCTGACGGCCAAAAAGGGCGCGAAGCCATTAGATACAAAGATACATCCCCAGAAATGTATCTTGTAACTCGTGCATTGTGCCTTGTTAGCAAGGCCGTACTGGAAAAACAATAACAATAATAATAGTAATGGGAAAACGGGAAGAGGGTTCAGGGATTGGGAATGGGAACTTGTCAATTCGACACTTCATAAATGCAGCCTCGAACCATTGATGGCCATGTATCCATGTATCTGACAGATGCAACTGACTGCGTGCCTGGTTTTTGCGATGAAACTTGACAAACGATTGCCAGGAGCTATCATCCGCAGCAGCATCCCGAGTGATCTAGTTCGGGTTTTTCCTTGTTTTTTTCTGCTTCTTTTTTTTTATATATATATAGCCCATGATCGCTTGACATTTGTTACATTTGACAGCTAACAATGTAGCTACAAGATACAAGATACACGACTGCCCAGCGCCTTAGAAGAAGCTGTATAATTGATAATGCCGCCGCTCACAATGGCCACTTAATTATTTTTTCTAGCTCTGCAGCAGCTCTCAATGAAGTGTCTGTATTTACTTTTTTATACAGTTTTTTCTGCTGCTGTTGTTGTTGTTGTTGTTGTAGGTTCGTGGATACAAAGGAAACCGCCGTGCGAAAATACGCGCAATTGACAATTAATTGATGTGTCCGCTCTGCTGGCCATGTTGTTGGATTTCCAGTGGCTCACACCCTTGTCAGCTGTCATTTTTTTTTATATATATGCCTTCGTATATATACCTTTTTTTGAGCCCATGATGGTTCGTTTCGTTTTCGTTTGTCCAACTGTCCTGGCCTTTTTGTTAACCTTATTATTTATCACTCACGAGTGTGTGCAATTGTTGTTTGCTTTCTTTTTTTATCCAGTTAGGGCTTAATTTTTATGCTCTCATGATTTTTTCATTAATTTATTGCATTCCTCGAGTGTCCCGCGTCCGAGGACATTGACTCCCGATCGGTAATTGAAATCAAATGAAGTGACAGTCGAGGGGATGATGTTGTGATGATCGATTTGATGGCGATTGCCATTTGCAGTCGGGAGATTTGAGTGTGAATGGGATTTTGTGGGTTTGTTGGGATAATGGTTTTGGAATGGGGGTTAAAATACTGATTTTTGATAAGGCTATCTATCTGAATAGTATCTTTATTAGGGGGAATAGTCAGTTGTATGAAAAAGAGGCTTAAGAATTTTAATAAGATTTTTCGGGTTACTCTAAATATCAAATATTTAGATATAAAATACTAAGCAAGTTTATAGCCATTATATTTAATTCATTCACAATTTAGTTTACTAATATTTTAGCTAATTATTTATAATTTACATATACTTGTTAGCTTAAATCTCTTTTAAATTGCATTTCTTATAATGATCTACAAAATAAACTCACGTCTGAAATCGTTGCAGCTATCAAATTAATGACTGTGGAGTATAGCCACTCTACAAATAAGGTCAGCTATTGAACGAGTTTAGCTATCAAATATGGTAAAAGGAATTTGATTTTTCCTTCGACTCATTAAGGTTAATTTTGTTGATAAACTAGTTTAACTTGAAGAAAACTAAATAAAGTGATTTGGCCCTGGAGTAATAATTAAAGTACTACTTTATATATTTTCTCATTAAATAATACAAAAGGAAAGATTAATCAATCATTTCTTATTAAATAAGTTAATAAAGGTAATAAGATACAGAACGATTACCTTAAAGGCTTAGCAACAATCTGAATATATAAATATACCATATAAATTCATAGTCTAAAAACCAGCTTGTCCAATTATAATACTTCCCATATAACCCTTCCATAATAAGGATCTTCACCCTTTTCCTAGAACCGCATTCCCTGCATTAGAGGGCAACACCCAGAAATTACAGCACGTGCAACCTGAATTGAGTTACTGACGTATCATCATCATCGCTATCAGGATGATCTGGCATATAGTATCTTTTAACCAACCCACTTCAAACTGGAAAACACACACAGTCCCTTGTAACCTGGCATTACTCACACGAGTTACAAAACAAACGAAGACGAAAAACATTTACAATTAATGAAATCGTTATGCGAAACATTGACATTTCACGATCATAAATCAAGCGAAAATTACAGTTGTAGTCGAGTAAGAGAAAAGTTGAGAAGTCGAGCGGGAAATGAGGGAAAAGGGAGAAAATAATGAAACGGAGTACAACATAATTAAGGCGTAACGGGGCTATATAAGAGTATAAATATTATATGTACGAACACTTTTGGGGCAGGTGAAAGGCGTGTGAGTGTGCCGAAAATTATTTTTATATTTACCCAACGAGAACAGCAACATAGCCTGGAAATTCAAATGGTAATTATGAACCAAAAAAAAAAAAAGAAGAAACGACAACATGGTTAAAGGCGTAATAAATGACAATGTTTTTGAGATGCGCTTTGCGGTGGCTCTTCGCTTCTATCTCTCAGTTTTTTTTCAGAATTTTTTATTCTTCAGTTCTTAGCTTGGTTGGCCCAAAACCTCAATTAAAAACGCATTAACATTTCACTGGTTGCACTTTTATTGTACGTTACACATACGCCGCATGGGCCCGCCATCTGAGCAACTGGCGCCGTCTGTTGGCCATTAATGGTAATTTTAAAGAGGTTTCTGTGGAGGGGGAGAGGGTATATTATAAACACACACACTCACACACTTGGCTGGGCATTTAGGTACGCTGCTTGACCTAACGATGTGTGTAATGTTGTTTAAACAATTTAATTAAAATGTAATTTGTTTGGAAATAGTTATCAAAATGGGTTTGGTTAGCTCTACCTTTCTCTTTCTATCTGCAGTCTAGCTATCTCTGTCGCTCCGTTGATGATGATGATGAGCCTGATACACGTCTAATTAACTTGTAATAAATGTTTGCCATTTGCTTATTTAACTTTAATTATATGGAGCTGCGCGGCAACAACAGCGATAACTGAATAATTGCTTGATTGAGGTTCTCTCTCAACTATAATGGCGTTGTGCCTCGAATATGACTTTTAGGTGTGGTTTATTTCCCTCTCCTTTTTTTTTTTTGTGTATGTTTTTCTTCTTTGCTTCACGGCACTCAGCGGCCATTTGAAACGGCTATAATGACCAGGGAAAACTCGCTTAAGCGAAAAATATTCAAACAGTAAGTGGTGGCTTTTCTCAACTGGTGGTTAAATAGCATTTAAAAATAATAATATTTATATTTATATTTATACTTATTTTCAGTCTACTTAAAAAGTGATAAAAATGCCTATAACATAAAGAAACTTCTTAATATTCTTAGGAAAAACTCTCTTTAATGTTTTCCTAAGCTTGCTAATGTTGAGGTGATACCAGAGCTAACTAACTAACTTCTTAAGCAGATCTTAGACAGAGGTACTCATTTACCTAGTCCTATAGCATCTGCTTTTACTATTAAAATCGTGCAAATATTCAATTAATAAATATCAATAATATTAAGGATAAACTGCAAATTATAAAGTCGTTAACCTCTCCTTTAATAAATCAACGAATCAAGTTATATTTACTTAGCTATTTATGAATAAATAACACATTTTTCAAATTTTTAAATTGATTTTAAACGGTTATCTATAAAGATTGCTTTTAAAAACCGGTTAATATCTATGAACCGCTTAAGTAATTGAAAGCTATGATATATATCTATAATAGTTTGAGTTAAAAATTATAAAAATTAATATATAAATATTAACTTTAGCGAGAAGTAAAGTTTATAAATTTATAAATATATATTAAGTATATGTTTTCTGATTTCATAGTTAAGACTTTTTTAATAACTCTCTGATTTTACCTAACATTGAATTATTATTAATTTTTAAGTAAGAGTACTCACTGCCTGGAAATCGTGGAAAGATGCGCCCATGTCGGCTGAGCAGCCAAGGATACAGCGGATAGCTATCGCGTATCAGATGAGGAGCACTTCCAAACGGATGATGTCCATGGGGCGGTGGATGTACCGGATGCGGTCCACCCGGAAAGATTCCCATTGGAATTTGACCAGGCGGCAGATGTGGATGCGGACCATGTGGCGGTCCAGTTGGCACGGGCGGAAGTTGCTGCTGCTGTTGCTGTTGTTGCTGCTGTTGTTGCTGGTGATGATGAGCCAGTGCAGCAGCCATTTGGAACTGGGCAGCCAGGAACGGAGGCGGCGGCGGGTGTGGTGGACCTGCCATGCGTACCGCCATGGAGTTCGGTGAGGTGCGGTTCTGGATTAAAGCTAGATTTGGCGCCGGCAATGGCATCGGACGGATAAGGGTTGGGGCATTTCCCGTTCCCACAGATGATAGATCTCCTGATTTTGGAGTGTTCCCCGTCGTTGGGGGAATTCCACCTGCATTCGGAGGTGTTGGCGTTCGGCTAACCGGTGATCTTTGCGGACTTCGAGATCGATCCAGGGAATCCCTCCTCCTGCAGTAGATATATCCTCTGGGCGTCCGCCGGCCACTGTTATTGGTGTTCGTCGGCGATGCGGGACTTGCGCTGCGCGGCGGTGGTGGCGGCGAGGATATCACACTGACCCTCAAAGGAGCCGATCTCGTCGAGGATTCGCCCACAATCGAATCGATACTGAAGGCCAGTTTTGGTTTACTGCCAGCGGCAGAGGCAACTGTGCTGGCGGAGACGGAAACGGTAGTGGAGGATCCGGCCATCGAGGAGCTGCTGCTCACAAAAGGACTCGTCGGCGCCATGGGCAGCATGTTGAACGTTTGGCGGCCGCAGGTGACCATTTGGTAGGGATTAAGTTCGATTTAAATAATAAATAAAACACGGGCCAACTTATCCAACTCAAACTATCTAATGACGAAGGCTCTGTAAGTCAAAGTGGGATAGAAACACATTTTTTATCAACTTTACAACCCATTTTTACGTTTTTTTTATCTGATCTGGATTGATATTAACATTTATAGTATCTTTATCTTTAATCAAATTCTTATCTGTTTCTAAAATTCAAATCAAAAAGGGCAATTAGGAAATGGGAAAATTATACAAATCTATCAATTGTTAATATTTTCGTTTTAGTTTATAATTTTATCTTTATAGAAAACTATGTATATGCATAATATATATACTGAAAATTTGGGAAGTTCTTTAAACTTCGATTTTTCAATTTTCTTATTAAATTTTAAAAATATAAAAATTGATTAGTTAGAAACACAATTTCCCTATAAGAAAATAGGAAACTACACATTGTCCCAACTACAAAAATTGATCAGAATCGAAAACGGAAAAAGGGTTGAATTTATCGATGCTTCCAATATTTGGGTTGGGGCTATAGAAACACGATCGCGTACGGCGGTTAATGGTTACTGTTTACTGATTATCTTAGATAAGCACACACACGCACTGTTTTTCTTTTCAGATCAGATAGCTATATGGCCATATAGCTTTAACCGTTGTATCGGCGATGCTCCAGCGGTTGGCATCCGTCGGCATGACATTGATAAACTGGAGCGGCGGCGGCAACGCGGCGATTGGAGCGTGACCGTACCGCTTCGCTGGACGATTGTCAACGGCGGCGGCGGCGATTGACGATTGACGATTGAGTGTGGCGGTATCGTTAGCTTGAGAGTCAAGAGTTAACAGTTAAACGTTAACCGGCTAACGGTTGTCGGGCGCCCGGTAACGAAACGATTGCGGTGGCCGCGCTGCGATGATGATGAGCACTGTCAACGCCATTAGCATTATGGAGCGTTCTAAAGGCGTCTAATTGTTGGCTCCTCTCCACCGCTCGCGCCCTCTCTTTCTCGCACACTCGTCTCTTCTTCTCGTCCGCTCTCCCTCTCTCTCTCTCTCTTCTTCCTTTCTTTTTAGCGGGGGCGTCGGCGAATCGCTGCGTGGCTCTCACGCTGAGCGTTTTGGCTCGAGTGTCGCGTTGGAAAAAAGCCGCAAAAAGTTTGTGGGGCTAGCACTTCTGCTTCTTCTTCTACTTCTGCTTCCAGTGGAGCAAAGCAGCAGGCGTCTCGCTCGCACGCTGTGTTAAATGCGCCTGCGCCAAAGCAGTGCAGCAATATTCTTTGCTATTATTCCAAAAAACCTGCTCTGCTCCAAGTGGAGCCACCTCCTCTCTCGCTCGCTCTCCCGCTCTCCGTATGGGTGTCTGTGTGCGTGCTGTTGAGGGGGCCAAGCACTCTTTCTCTCTCTCTCTCTCTTTTCGCTCTCTTGGCCATTTTTCGCACCAGTTTATGACAGCGAAACAAACAATTTGCGCTAAACAAAACAGCATCATTAAAGCGTTTGTGGTTTTAGTGCCAAGCGGGTTGGCCAGTTCGATGGGGTGTAGAGGGAGGGGGAGGTGAAGGGGTGGTACTCTAGAACAGTGGGTTAAGTAAGAATATTTGAGGGGATGTGAAATTAAATATTGTTTCTTTATACTCAGAATTTGTTAAATGGAAAACGAAGAGAAAGTTTTTAGATAAGTTAACTTTTGTTAAAATATTTTAAATGACATATCTTCATTTTTAAATGTTTCCTTTATAAAAGGATCTTATTATTTAATTTATCATATCTTGATAGCTTAAATAAGTTATTATAAAGATTACTTTTCTCATTTAAAATCAATTCGTATATTATTTATATTTTTGAAAAGAAACTCATAACTTAAATAAGTTTATCCAAAGATAGCAAATCTCTTTCCACTGTGCCCCGGCATCAACGTCATCGCTTATATAGCTTAGACGCCCCGTCGTCAGTGCTGGCTATAGCCAACCCTTTCCCTAGCCCACCCTCCCCCATTCGGCCTTTCCACCATTCCGAATTGGCTCGAATTGGCATCTGCATCATGTTGGCCAAAAGCATTTGGACATGAAAATGGGCGGTAACTTGGTTTCTACACCTTCGGCGAGCTGCAACTGCCGGCGTGGCGCATACTCACAGATACTTCGGTATGGGAATGTATCTGTATCTGGTCATCCAAGTATCTGCATCTGTATCTGTATACCCATCCTCATCCGCTGGCTGTGAGTTGTGAAAATAAACACCTCGTTAAAGATGCAGGAGGAGGCATAAAACATGCAGCGCCAACGTCTCAGCCTTCTCATAGGTAAATACATGGCTGAGGATTCCCCACCTTTTGGGCATGAATGGGTATGGATGTGTTGGCCGAAAAGGAGCACGGAATCGGGAGTCCAGATTCGAGAGCCGAGAGGTTGGCAAATAAATTGACGTGCGCTTGGCTGGATTTGTATGCATCTAGATAAGGACGGTGGTTTGTCGATGGGGCAGAAGCCTTGCTGCCGCAGATGCATCCAACTATATCTATATATATACATACATACAGATATATATATATCTGTATATCTGTGAGTGTGGCACCTCTGGGTGCGGTAATTGTAATTGGTTTTTACTCTTCTTCCATCTCCGCCTCACGTTTCGGGATAAATCATTTAATTAGTCAGACAATGAGCCGGGACGAGAACTTTATGGGATGCTCCATCACTGCAAAAGGTTATCGATCGCCAATCAATGATTTTCGGGGCGTTCTTTTTTGGCATTTACCGCTCTTGATATATGACCAGAAGGTGGGTCCGCCATAAGATAAAAAGCAGCAAATGTCGGTTTTATCTGCTCAAAAAACGCAAGGGAATTTTTGGTGGCTTTTTCTTATTGGTTTTTAGGAGGGGAAATATATTTAAAGTGATATTAAAATATTGAACTTTTTAATTTAAAGACCTTTTTTTTATTAAATTTTATATTAAAATAATTTTAATATATATTTCCAAGAAAACTTATAAGCTTTAATTAATAAAAAGTATTGAGTAGTAACTTAACTTCTTAGTAAGAAGAACTTTTGTCTCATTTTCCTCTTTTTAGATTTTCATATTCATTAACTAATAATAAATCTGTATAGTTTACTTTAAAACCATGATTATGTTTTTGCATATTCTCTCTTTTCTTTATCTCTCCATTTCCTCAAAGTAACTATTAAAATTTTCTCAGGAAAATAGTTCTTTAGCCTTAATGCCAACTAATTAAAGTCGCCTAAAAAGAGGTTCCAGTGGAAGGACCCTCTTCCATACGAACTTCCATACTAACAGTAGTCCGTCCCGGTCTCTCTTCATTCGGGAAATGCAATCCACAAGATGTTTTCATGTTCCACAGTTGCTGAGCGAGATAAACCGACAGTTGTCGTTGATTGGCTGCCCGTAATATCTGAGTGGGTGAGAGCGGGACAGCACTAAGCGACAGCTGCTAACAAGGGGTTGGACACGTTGTGCCATTGGAGTGAGCGGGAGGCAGAATGCCTGGCATGGGAAGGGGTTGCGAAAGAGACGGGGCAGGAGTGCCACAGTGTATAAATCCAATTCATTTAATAATTGCCAACGAGATGGAGCTCATTATCACGAGTACTTTGCACGGCTTTGCCAGCTTCCAGCGGGGGGTAATGCGCAGGCGGGGATGGGGGCTTTCCACCAGAGTGTTTCTCTGTGGGCAGGCCCTACTGTATCTGGTTGGCTGGTGCCCATCTTCTCGTTCACACAGATGGGAAACATCTTTGCTTATAATAACATTATAGAACTTATTTTATGAAGGATAAAGGTTTATTTTATATTATTAAAGTTATGGTTTTATGTTACATCTTTTGTATAATTTATATTCCTGCTTTCTATCCGCTAGTTACCTAGTTAAAGTATCTAAGAGATTTAAAAAGTATCTAAGAATCTGTGAGCTCCCTTGTCTGGTTTTTATTTGCCTCTCAAATGGAAGCCCATGGATGCTGATAAATGTGATGTTCCCAAGCCTGGGAAGTCTGCTACCCGATGATGGCGGCGGCTTTTCAGTGTCAATTAAAACAGCTTTCCCATCTCTGCAGATGCCATGATGATCGACGGGAAAGGGGTTTTAAATGGCAGCTGGGGGGTTGCAGATGGATGTTTAGCGAGAGAATAATTCCCACAAGGGTTGGCCGGCCAGAAGTTTCCACCATCAGCGACCAGCGCTTCGTGTTGACACAGCTAATTGGCTTTATTTGTTTTAATAATTGAGCATTTTCGGCTCCAGCCACGGGCACTGATTTAATTAAAAATTTCCACGGCCAATCGAAAGGGTTTTTCCTTCGCTCAATCGTGACACTTTGTGTTTGTCTGGCCGAAAGGCGAAGCTTAAATGGAAATTTGATAAGGCGGATTAAGTTATATTTCGGAAAAGGTATCCAGGTAAATAAGTTTGAAGTTTGAGTAAAGAAGATAAAAATTATTTTAATATTCCTTCCATACATAAATTAAAATATTTTTATTACAATATTAATATTTTTTAATCATTTTAATTGATTTTAAATGCAAAATCCTTCCGAATTGGCCTAATCGCTGGACTTAATCAAATGCCAATAAATATTTTGCAACTATTTGGAATGCTTAGTCGAAGATCAGTCACTGACGTGGATCAGAAGTGATCTGGAGAAGATCGTCCGCTAGAAGATCATGCAAATCCCCGAACTTAAACCAAGGAAAAGCCTATGGAAATCCGCGGGATCTGGTCAAGAAAATGGCTGAGCATCTCGGCCCAAGAGGATCGCATTTAATCCAATTATCGATAGCCAGAAAATGCCTTGGGAAACGGCTGACTTGTCTAAATTGTGGGCGGGTGGCGTGGCTTAGCCCAGGTAATTCAACCGTTCCCAGAAAGTGTGATAGAGATAGCTAAAGTGGGAGAAAGAGAGAGGAGGGAGCAAGAGATTGTGCCAGAGCGTTCCCCGTTGATTAATTAAAATTTTGATCAGCTCGCAAACGAGGGCCATTATTTAATGAGTTTTTTATGAGATGCCAGGTGTGGCAAGTTGCTTATAATTACACGGAGAAAAATGTCAAAAAGGAAGTTAATACTCAAAAATCTTTCAAGAACTAACCATTAAATATCTTGAAACCAATATTAAACCTAAAAAATAGATATCAAGATATATTAAAAATAACTTTTAAATTATATTCCTTTAAAAGGTATTTTCCGATTTTTAACTCAATTAATAACTGGCCTTACCCACTTTAATGATATACATTTTATATTATTATTTACCAAATTTTCTCCTCTGTATCCCAGTGGGTGTGGCAATAATGAAATTGTGGGGATATCACATGCCGATCGAGGCGCGACAACTGCCGCAAATTATGGCAAATTTGTGCGGTTCGTGGGATGCAAGCGAAATATTTTATTGCCTCATTATGCAAATGCGAATGGCTCTTTCGGATGAAGAGGATGAGTGGGCGATCAGCTGGGCGGGGGGAACAGCGGAAGACGGATCAGTCATATATATGATATATAAGAGCTATAAAGCCAGGTAGATCGGGACTCAATTAGATACGCCGACTGCCGGAAAACCGCATTGAAATTACGCCAGGACCTGCCCGAGTTCGATAATTGCGGTAATGCCGATAATCTGTTTTTGACCGCTCGACCTTCGACCCTTTCCGCCCCTTAATCTCCGCGAACCAGCCCCTAATTGTTAGCCAGGCCGAAAGGATTCGCTGGGACATGGCTGTCCTGTTCCTGTCGCGCGCTCTAAGTAGCATCGATAATTGGATTAAATCGCACTTTTGGGCCAAGAAGATCTAGCGCTAGTCCAGCGCTGATCTTTGGATTTCCAACGTGGCTTTGAGGCGCACAAATTCCGAGTTAAGTTTGTGGATTTGCCGGCCTAAACACGCGCTGATCATGTGTGTGTTGTATGGTTACCCGGAAAACTGTCTTGCATTTTTCTGGACTCAAGATCCTGATCCCCCATCCAGCGTTCTGTTAGTCCTTTTCTCGCTGGCAATCCATAGCCTAGACTAGACTAACTTCTTCCTGATCCCCGAACTCTGGCAAATCCAAAATATTTAGTTGCCCTTAATGGGGGCAATCGCACCAAATCAGCGGATAAA